AGTGGAGTATTTACTCCTCAGTCATGGGCACGGAAGACAAAGTATGACATGCGTACAGTACACCCAGACCAGTGTGCACTACTGTTGGATAGAAATCCCCACGTTAACTGAAAACGTCATGCGTTGTACGCGTTACTGCAGCCAGGGAACTCTGCACTTCAACAGGAATCAAGCGTCAAAGACTGTCAACTGAGAACCTGTAACTATCTAGCACCTGAAAGTCCTTAAGTCCCTGATGTGCCGGTGGTCTCAGAGTTTCAGGTGAGGTTTACGTGAGCATCATAAGATTGCTTGCACTTCCTTTGTTCCACAATACACAACTGATTTTTGGCATAAGCTTTCCAGAAAATGTCGCTGGTGGGTCTTTTCGGTGGCAGTTTGGGTTTCTTTTTCCCCAGCAGGAAATTATTACGCATTCAGGTCACAATCCATATTAAGATAATAAAGATTATGAACTAGGCCGCTCCTACTGTAATTAACACTGTGATCTAATTTTACAGAGTATTTCAGGAGAAAAGCACTTCCATGACACCACAGAAAGCAAACCCATCATCTGGACATCTGTCTAAACCCTAACATCATACGAGGCAGCATCATACAACCAGTCGACCTTTAGCTGGCTCCTTGCCATCTACAAAAGTCCACGTAAAATATTTGACTGGTTTTATAGAAAAATGATGCCATTATTCAAAAGTAATACTGGACAGATGTCTCGCACATCGCTGATGAAACCGACCACCTGTGCTGCCATAACCAACGGACGACTATCATAAAAAGAAATTTTCACTTTGAGGGTGTTACTAAAGCAGAGAACAAAAGGCATGCACTGCCTGGAAGAAGGGATCTTTGGTTTATTTTTCATCTTATATCTGGAAATAATAGTATTTCATTGCTTTTCCTTTCAGAATACGGATAAACCAAAATGTCATCTGAAACACATCATTATCAAACCCCCAGTATGACACAACTACAGACTGGCTCATTACACTAGGAAGTGTTATAAAGTCAGGAGATTTGCTACAGTGATGCAAGTCAAAGTATTCCAGGTTTTGATGGGAAAGCTGTTCTGACAATGAAACGTTAGGCATGACCTAAACCAAGACTTAAGAATCTTTTAGATAAAATATGGAGCAGAAGAGCCCCTGGATGCTTATTTACACACTGTGCCTCCATGTTAGACCACCTCTAAAACTCCTTCAGATCCTGGGAGAGAAGGACAGCTAAGGAGAGATTGTTCCCAACGTGCAAACTGTTCCCGTTTACCCGCAGGGCTGCCCTCCCCAGCCACACACACACATCTCCTGAATTTATCCTGTATTTAAGTCTATTACATAAGCACAAGCACATGTTTGGGAGCCAATGGATTGTGGGAGCGTGGGACATGACTCAGCAACTCCTGCAGACAAGCACAGGAGGTTTAAAGGAAACAAGACATCTAACGGTGTAGGATCAGAAGCTGACAGTGTTTGTCTGAACAAGTGGATATCTTTGGAATGACACTGATGTAGCCAGGCTGAGGTTAAGCTGACTCAAAATGGATCTCAAATTAGAGCAATTCAACACTATTAGCATGCACAAAGAAACCCACTGTATGCAGAACCTAATCGGCACCTTAGCATCAACAGTGTCTCCTCACCAGCTTCTACAGACAAAGCTCAAAAACCCTTAAAAGATACTTTAACAGGGTAAAGTAACTGCTTGTACAGTTGCATATACACAATTTGGAGATCCATCTATTTTATTTTCTCTTTTCTAGCCAAATCATTAGCTAACAGAGGGGAAAAGGTCAGGGTAAGGAGGAGGTAAAACGAAGGGTGAGCAACAGTATTTAGAGCAGTATGACAGGGCAGTACCTTTCTAACAGACAGAGATTTAGCGGGACTAAAGGCCTGCTCTGTGAGATCGAGCCCTTCAATAGATTCCGTACAGTCTGAGAGGGGAGCATCCTGCAACAGTAAATGGGGTAAACAGAGCAAACCGAGCCTAGGCTTTAAAACATCAACCAAAAACATTGTGATGCTTGCTAAAAACATGCAAAGAAACAGTAACCGGCAGATAAAATTGCAAATGACAATGAACTGACATGCACACAACATGACACCCAACATGAATAATGCCATGGTCATGGTAACACTTCCAAACTTTTAAAAGTAGATCGGAAAACACTGATCTTGGGCAGTTAAAGCGCTCAGATACAGAGCTTTAAGGTCACTCAGCTATGCAGTACAACTGTATAGCTCTAATTCTTACTTTAATTTGAGCTGTGATTCATACATAAAGTCTTTTGTATACTCAGGTACACTGCCTTTAAGTTTTATTGAGGTATAATAGCTTTTCCCCCCCAAAACCGATCTTCAAATGAAATAGTATGAAGCATGATAAAACACACTTAACACATAACACTACTGCCCGACAGTGAGCCTGCTGTGCCCAGTATTAATACTTCAAGGTACATAAACTTGGAAAACAAACAAACAAACAAACAAGTTGTCACAAAGCCCAACTAGAATTGAACAAGAATTTCACCCATAAAAATAAGCCTTCTGAATTTCATGCAGCACATTCAGCAAAAAACCCAAGAAGCACCCTCCACAGACATGCTTGGGCTACGCGGCTGAAGCCTCTTAAATACCTGGTCCTGAGCACTCTCGCAAAGACAGTGGTGTTACCTCTAAGACTTACCTTATAAACAGTTACTCTCTGCCAATTAAAGAATAATTTTATAATGATATATTAGGTGACAGCAGAAGATACCATGGATTAACTTTATGCTAATAGCTTTAGGCATTTTGTACTCTCACCTGTACAAGACTCCTGTCCACAACCACCCCAGAAAGAACCTGGGACTGGGGGCCGGCAGTTTTAATATCCTGTAAGTTTTGCTCTCGGATCTGGGAAGGAAAGCAGAACAGTCGCGTGAACAACAGAGAAAAGGTGACCACATTTTTTACTTGAAAAAGTGGCGGGTGAACCTGCCAACCAGCTGCAACGAGTGTAGATGGCTACGGCCCTGCCCAGCAGACCACGCTGCGCTGACAAACACGCCCTGAACGTTCGTGCTCCCGCTCCTAGCTGTCTGCCGACGTCTCTCCGGACTTCGCCTGTCAGTGCCGCAGCAGGCCCTGGCCTCTGCTCTGCAGTGCTGCCTCACAGTAAAACCCTACGGAGCAGGCTAACAGGCAACTCCCGCTGGGCACGTGAGAAGCCCAGAGGTTGGGTTTACCTACGTCTGTTATACCTGAGCAGCTGTTCGCAGGTTTCTGTCCCTGGCCTGTTGCATCTTCCTACAGAACTGACTCTGAAACTCTGCACGACATTCAACTTTTGCATCCTGTCAGGACCATATTCTCAGAAGGACACGGGAATTATTTCACCCCTGGAGTACTCTAACACAGCCCTTTTGTTGCAGCCTGAATACCTCCCACTTCTTTCCATACAGAAGATGGGAACAGAAACTGGATATTTAAACCTAGGTATTACCTATTTAAATTAGATATCCCACAGTGGTAAAGAATCCCTAACAACAGACTCAACATTTATTTCTAAAATATTCTGTGTCTTGTTCCAAGATAAACCAAGAAAAGCACGCAGCCAGCAAAGCCTCTACTTCGCAACTAAAAAGGACATTCCATTTACATAAAAATACAAGTATGTGAACACAAGGTGTTGTTAAGAGTTGGTATTTAAGAAAGTATGAAGATCCTGCATCATCTGAACTCGTTTCTAGTTTACTACCCTTCTGGTCATCAGGAAAGTAAAAAGTTGGAAGTTTTACTTCATTTAATCACTTCTGTCAAGTTTCTATCACGGCAGTATTTGTGGTTCAAACACCAAGGAACTGCTTGGCAATTTCACCAGACTTCTCATTTCAAGCGATTATTATTTTACAGTGCTGAGTCAGGAGAAGGAAAAAACTCTGTCAGCCTTATACAAAATTACTGTGGCACAAGTCAGTATTCCTGAACTTTCTGCGATGTAATGCTGACTCCCATGCCCCGTACGGCCATCAGCTAGAAGCAGCAGAACAATCCCCAACACGCTGAGTATTAACGAGATACCGGTGCACATGTTATGTTTGAACAGAAATAAAGTGAGAAAACCCCAATGCATCCAATGCTTTCCCGTTGGTAGGCTGGTGACAAGATCTGAAATTGGAAGACTGGAAAATTAACGATGTAATGCTGACTCCCATGCCCCGTACGGCCATCAGCTAGAAGCAGCAGAACAATCCCCAACACGCTGAGTATTAACGAGATACCGGTGCACATGTTATGTTTGAACAGAAATAAAGTGAGAAAACCCCAATGCATCCAATGCTTTCCCGTTGGTAGGCTGGTGACAAGATCTGAAATTGGAAGACTGGAAAATTAACTGCTTAGGTCATTTCAAAAAGATCATCATGAGGTTCTGAAGGCCCAGAGAGTTACCACAATCATCGCAGCATATTAGAATATAATCAAATACAACACGGGGAGAGATCCACAGACTCCTTTGCCGGGGCTACAATTTCAGCTGGCGAAACCAAACCAGGAAAACAGGTCACCGGTGTGAGACCATGAACAGAATTGCTACCATCAACTCAGTGGTGGCAGTCTCAGAGGTGTTCAGCAACTGGTCTGACAGTAACAAGATATAAGACAATGGCAGTCTTCACACAGTGGATAGCAATACCACCTTCTTCCAAGCTTTTAGGAATTGTTTCAGTATCTAGTAATAAAGGGACAGGACAATACCACAGCTGTGTTACTGAACCCCAGAAACTTCACTACAGCAACGTAAGTTAGTTCGTTGCAAATACACAATTTAATTACGGTGATGACCGAAAAAAAAAAGAAGTTATTTTACTGCTTACAAACCTTGTTCCTCATTTCCTGGACCTCCTTTGGATTGGTGTTCAATGGAACAAACAGGTTAGGGACAGCAGAGGTGGCAGTTCTATGTCCATCCTCTTTAGTCCACTGTAATATCAAGAAGAGTTGAACAGTCAGAACTGCTGTAATGGCTACAGAGAGAGCAGCAGATTTACACAACAGTTGGTCATGCATTGTACGTAGCAGAGAACTGAACCAATGATTGTATTCTTCTAGTCATTCCAAACGCTGTTTAAGGTGCTTCCTTCTCCAGTAACAGAAACTGTACCTTCAGATATGTTTATAAATATCAGAATCATTCTATTAAGCTAATAGCAACAACAACAAAAAATAGAGACAGTCTACTTGCAAATAACCTCCACCCAAACAATGCAATTACTACAGTTGTCTGCACTTCAGAGATTACGGGGACTGAAGGTTTTTAAGCTGGTTTTCTGTGCACCTGATCACACTGACAACTGCAGTGCTTTGTGTTTCTAAAAACAGTCTGCTTCCCGCTTTACGAAGAGACATCTTAATACAGAGGTAGGAAAACTCCAATAGGATTGCTTATTTTTAAGGACGTTTGTATCGGAAATTTCACAAAGAGGTCATATTTGTTTAAAAGCGACACTGTACCTTACCCAAACAGTAGAGCAAGATCTAAGGCACAAGCTCTAAAACCCTGTTTCTGCCATTTTCATTTTCTGCACTGGGTGTTTTTACAAAACAGCACGAGAGAGAGATCATTGATTCAATCCTCCAAATACTCAACAAACATCAAAGCGAACTTAAAGCATAAGATGACAAAGTATGAAAAGCCATGTGATGTCACTAACCAGGTTTAGTGAATGATTCTGTACTGTGAAGCAAGAGTGGGCATCACCAAAGTTTTGCGTTAAAACAAGCTACTTCAGCAAAATGTTCGGTTTCCAGAATTAGTTTCTGCAGAAATGAACGGCTGTACCAGCACAGCAACCTAGAGGAACAGTTTGGTGATGTCGAGTATTTTATAACTCATAGCTCAAAGGGTTACAAAAGTATCCCAAACACAAAGTTGAAGCGCTTCATGGGCTCTTCAGAGAAGGTTGCTTTATTTGATCCGTGCATTTAGTATGGAGCTCTGCTTAATTTGATGCCCAACTAACTTATTCCCTCGATTTGTGTATTACAGGCGGTGCCCTAATTTCCAATCGTATTGCATAGAAAATGCACCGAACAGTAAAGCAAACCTGTTTATAGAGCAAATGCTATGCGGTTTTTTCCTGAGTAATTTCAAGAAACGATAAAATAGCCAGAAACTGTCAAACTTCAAAAAGCAACAGAATTTTAAAATGCTTTGCAACTGTAAAGTAAAAAATGGAATGAACATGGAGCTGTGAAATACTCACTGATGATTATCTTCTCAGATAAAAACTACTCCAGCTTTTTATTAAAGATAATTTTTAGTCAAAACATATATAAAAACAACCTCAACATAATAAGCTGCTACTTCTTTAGGTTAATAACAAGCATTTTAAAAAAAATGTAAACACACAAACCTGTTACACTATGTGAAATGCTAGTGCTTCAGCATACCATTAAACAAGAACTTTTGCTTCAATCTTTCACCGATAATTTCAGGTAGAAAACAGTACCCATATTGTGAGCTGAGGTTGAGAAGCATGAACTGCTCCAAACACAGGCACAGCTTTAAGTTTTTCCAACCACGGCAAAACTGTAGTCAAGTAAAGTGTTGACAGTACAAACAATATCCACGTATATTAAGGTCTTAAACCAAACAGAACACCACAGAAATACAGAGAGAGAGATTCTCTGGTTTCTTCAGGGCTGTCTACACGTTAACGCTACGTCTTTTAGCACCCACATTGCCTGAGTAATCGTTCCATAAAAGTATCCGAACTAGAGAGGACTCTGAATGTATTCAGAGGTGAAGCATAGTTTCGTAGGGGTGAATAAGAATGAAGAGGTGTTCTGGAAAAAATATGTCTATTTTTCCTTTTCTTTTGGGTTGTTTTTTCTTAAATACTCACCTGTAAGCATACTACTGCTACCCAGAGTACCTCTACTGAACCACCGGAGCGAGTTCAGCCTGAAGCCAACCTTTACAAAAGCCCGCATGCGTGTAAATCCCTGCCTACGCTGAGATGCTCCGCATACGCCCAAGAAAACACCGAAGCCACACTTACGCACAAACGGCTACCGATGTCCACCTGAAAGCATTTGATACTTTTCCTTTTCAATCCACATACCTTTCAGTGCAAAATTTAAAACTGTAAAGCAGCATTGAGAAACAAAAGAGAGAAGCACGGGTTGCAGAATCTATCGATTAGTGCCTGCTGATGGCCTGAGCTGCACTTTAGTCATGCCGCACCCAGTTGGTACTTCCGGAAAGACTTCCCGTTTATGGCCATCTACTTCCATGCAACACTACATGCAGAAGGCAGCTGGTTGGGAACACTCAGAGGCTTTGGGGCAGACAAAAGCATAGTAAACAGGACAGGGAGAGGAGCTGAGCAACTAGGTAAGAAAAACTGCTTAAGGAAAAAAAAAAAAAACCCCAATGCTTAAATAGTTGGAAATCAATTCCACCCTCTTGCAGAGAGTTGCAAATGGCTTGCAAGCTAAGTTCATATATGTAACAGAGGGTGGAAATTTGACTATTTTTAGATATACTTGTACAAAAGTACACCGAGTAGCTGGTTTCATTTTTTGGTTTAACTGAAAAGCTTTCATGCAGACAGAATTAGTAGTTCCCTAACACAGTTGCCCTTAAGGAAACCATTTAAGCGCACAGCCTGTTCACTCAAAACTGATCAATCTGTTTGGTCAGTAGCTTGAGAAGCCAAAAGAAAACTAGAGGCTCCAGTGTCTTAAGCAGTTTTAAGTATTAACAAGGAAGACGATTTTCACAGCTCGCATCTAATCAAACGAAGCCGTTAGTAAAACACATTTAGTTGTTTTGTATAAGAAAATGAAAGGAATTAGGAGAGTAGTCTTTTCCTTCCCAAAGCCTCTAAGTGCCAGCCACCCCAAGTTGCTCTACATCATCTAACTATGAACAGTAAGGTAGGCACAGACCAAGCAGTTGGTAATACAGCTTGGCACGCAGACACCGGACGAGAGAGACTGCAGCAAGGGTTTCACGTGATCGTGTGTAATGTTCGTCCACACCTTAGTCTTCGACTTGGGGCTGCTGCCATTCTGCCCTTCTTCAGAAGCATCATCCCCTCGGCCAGAGTTCAGCCACCTTGTCTTCTCTCGCTGCTGTTTCTGAAAACTGTGTCTGAGGGGGGAGCAAGTGCCTGATTCGCCATCGCTAGTGAAGGAGTAACCTGTCACACTAGCTGGAATCTCGACATCGCTGTACTTTTTAGATTTCTCTCTCAGAGCAGGGCATCGGTACGGGTAGCCGGTTCTGTAACCCTGGAGAAGCAGAGCAGCAGAATTAGTTTTCTACATCTCCAAGTTTTTCAACGGATGACTGAATTTTGGTTTGATTGACACCCTTATTTACAAAACACGTTCTACAGCACAGCCTTTTCTCTGCCTGCAGTTCACCAGTTCCGGTGGACAAAGCCACATCGAAGCCGGGTGGCGCACAGTAATGAGGCTGCATTAGCATCCCTTCCAACCCAATAAACTTCTGAACCACTCCTCCAAATGAGTCACCGTTTTTTCATAGAGCAGACTTCAAAACCTTTTTATCACACAGAGTTTTACAGTAGTCCTGCAAAAAGCCACCGAGAAGTTCCTCAAGAGCAGTGCTATGGGTCTGCCTCGTTTCAGAGTCAAGTTAAAAATTACCACCTGTGTAATTAGGTGTTTGACAGGTTAAGAAAATGGTTTTTCAAAACCAAGACAGTACCCGTAACCATCCATCAAAGGACTCTCCTCTCAAAGTCCGTTTTAAAACGGAAACCTGCATGGAAATTTCAGTTCCCTTCAGGACAAACGTAGGCTTTCAAGGAGATAGGATTCCGTTAATAAGTGGACAATAACTTGCCAGCCTGCTTTGATGAGATCATGTGTTAGAGCACGTTACTGGGGAATCTAACTTAGTGCTCTGTCCCATCGGTACCCAAGGTGCAATCATCAATTTATGCACCGTTAAAATCTTAGGAACGTACTTTTTCCTGGAAATCTCTGAACTAAAGTTTTCTAAGTTATACTTCAGGAAAGATTTCGACACTAACACTCAAAACAACGAAAACTGATGACCATACCTACAGCTACTGGTTAGATTATCAGCCCTGCCCGCTCTTTCTGACAGTCCTTCCCACGGACAACAGTACATGCTCGAACTGCCACAAGGCAGGCGAAGTTTGAATCCGGGGTGCGTTTAGAGTACATGTGCTTGTGGGAATGGCCTACGTACACACTTCCTCAGAGGACAGGGTTTTTTCCCCAGGGGGGTTAAATAAATAAATATAAAAGAGATGGGTGTTTCTTGGTATGTCTCACTGAATTCCCAAGTAATTGTTCAAGCCTCTGGAGTTGGATTTAAGTCCAAACACAGAATCATGACTTTTCTTTGTACCATATTCCAGCTACTGGTTTAATATTTTTTTTTCCCTGCAACAAGTGTATTGACAGTTTCTCACAATTCTCAGTCAAGGACATAAAAAAGCACCTGTATGATACAAAATGCAAGGGCAAATAGGAATCTCTCTTCTGGGTTCCTAAAATCTAGGATTCAACATATGGTACAGAAGGAACGGATTCAAGAATGATGCTTTGATGTCTATATTCCCTCCCCTCCCTGATCTAAGCTGTTTTTCTCTCCCACTTCCCCTGAATTATGTTTTGTTTCCCTTTTTACCTCACCTAATGCACTACTCATGTCTTCCTCTGCTTTCTTCCATATTTTGCTTGGCATTTAACATACAAAAAGGTCATTTAACAGTTTCTCTAAGAGTTTTCACTCGCAAACTATTTTCAATGCGGCTTAAGGAAAAAAGAGTGTGAACAGCCTGTCTCCTCAGGCACTCAAATTCCTTACAGACAAAGCCAGGTGTAAAGAAACTTCAGTCCCGAGTATGCACGCTTAGCTTCCTCTGCAGTTTCCATGCACTGAGCGCTGCTGAGGCAGTATCCTGGCTGCTGCTCCATCTTTTCATGATCCAAGCGCATCTTGAGAAACTATCTACTGCCCAGTGGAGTTAACTCCACTAATAGTCTATATTATAGAGTTAACTCCACTAATAGTCTATATAACAACTAATAGCCACAGTATAACACGTGGCTATTTGTAACAGTAAGGACGTGTGCTGGATGACTGAAAGCTACTTCTATTTTTCTGTCGACTTGAGGTGACAGCTGATCACTCAGTCTAATATGAAAACATCAGCTATTCAAACCACTAATGAAGGAGCCCGATTTATGTGTTTTCTGTACTACAGACACTGAGCTAAGGGGAGAACCACCTAGTTGTTTACTACAGAGTGTATGTGATGGGGAGTGTTTTAAGGTATCCTCATTAGTGTACATCCTGTCAGGGGCAGATGCATCACGTGACCATGAAGACCACATTTAAGTCTACACAGGAAAAAGATCAATTAAATAACAAATCAGGAGATGATGTCCGATGAGTGCAGTGACCGTATTTTTTGATAGGTTCTTCACTACTGTCTACAGTCACCACTTGGAGACTTCCGACAAGGAAAGGCATCACCTTTCCCGTTAAAGCTGGACAGCAAATATTGGCAGCTGGTCATTCATGACAGACGGGAGGTATGGAAACTGTTTTATCTGAAGAGTTTTATTTGTTTGAAGTCTGTCTTTTGAGCTCTTCCAGTAGAGCCTTACAAAGTCAAAGCATGCTGGACCCCGTACCCGACAAAACATGAACGCTGGTTGATGCATTTTGGGAAGGAGTGGGAACAGAGGATATGCTGTCACACAGAACAGTTAAACAGAAACGTCTGCCTTACCAGATTATCGAGCATCCGCATAAGAGCTTCGAATTCCTGTTCACCAATCTGCCATTTTGGATGGGATACAGTACCCTCACCTGCTGGAGACTCAGGGGAACGAGATTTGGCTTTATACTTTCCGGGATCTAAAAGCACTAAGTTGTCAGGTCCACCTGCACTGGCCAGGGTGCGTACCTTGAAAAGAGAAAAGTCATCTTGTAGTTTCTTGGGGGAACCCCAAACCCAAGAAAATTGACATCAGCAAAACCAGAAGAAACCTACTTCCTTTTAAAGGTAAATGAATTAACATACTGGTACAAAACCTGTCTTAAGGCTTTGAAAAGGTCTGTTTTGACAGGCAGCTTATCTCCAACCCATGGTTCCACACTACTTGAACACTGGTGGTTAAACCCACGATTTGGATGTCCTCCCATAATGTAACAATCTCTCGGACCAGCGCGTTAGTTTAGCGTAAGGCTTTAGCCGGTCAAGCGCACAACTACTAATCTGAGCACGAATACAGCAGACGGTACATAACATCATAATACTCTTACTTGAATCTCACAGGCAAGCACTAGATTATGAATGTAGTAGAAAGCCTCCTCAACAGTCTCTCCAACTGACACTAAGCCATGGTTTCTGAGAATAAGGACCTAGAGAGACATTGCAAAGAAAGTTAACAGCAGTATGGCGAGTATTTTCTTGCTCTCAATCACAGAGCATACCTCCCCCACCCCCCACATACTTCTCTTTAATTCTTGATGTAAATACTGACCTTGCTTTTAGGTCCCAGATTTTTCTGAATAACCACCTTTTCTTCATCATCCACTAAGATACCGTGGTAGTCATGGTAGGCTACTTCCCCCAGAGAAAGGGCTTCAGGTGAAATGGGCAAGAGACCGCACTTCATTGCGGAAACCTGGGAAATATTAAAACAACTTCATGTCTTGCCACAGAAAAAAACGGGGAAGAAAGAGACAATATAATAATGCTAAGAATTATAATTTAAAACATATTTTTATATATTAAATGTATGTGTCTGCAGTCTTATATTCCATCCCTAAAGCCTCTATTTTTCACAGCTTTTTGATTGGACACAAAATCCACACTGATCCTGGGTCTGGCTCAACATAGCTGCTTTAACACGACAGCAAGAAAAATATCAAAAGCCTCAGGAAAAAAAAAAAAAAAAAGGAAAAAACCAAACAAATCCCAAAATCAAATGAACCCACAATCTCCTCCACTACATCCTCCCCAAAACAACTGTATCCATCATTCCTTCCACTCCACTCAGTGGTTTATTTTTTTGCTCCCAAAAGAAGAAATTCAGTGATGAACTTGGACACACGTAATCCCACAGCACTGCAGGTAAAGTTAAGGAACATTAAAGACTATTCTATAATTCACAATTTTAGGAATCTGATCTTTTATCCATAAAGTGGTTGTATCACCACTGGAAATGTTCATCACATTATTCAAATAAAAAAAAAGGGGGGGGGGAAATCAGAATGTGAGCTTTGAAATAGAGTCACCAGATGACTGTCAAAAATCCCAAAGAGGTAAAACTGACCTGTAACCAGTTGCTCTAATGAGAGGTATTGGGAAAGTTTCAAATGTTTAAGAACACCTTGATAAATTGTGCTTTACAAAACCCAACAGAACATGACAAAGCTCTTAGGACTCACTGCCAATAGATACGGTCTCTTGTGGTAAAGGATACACAAATATGAAATACATATTTTCCAATTACAGAGCTCAATTAGCCACCAGAACACCCCTCTAACAACCAGATGAGGAGGATCTGATTGATTCAAACAGAACTATTTATTTGAAGGCAGACCTAGAGGCTTTGTGCCCTTCAAAATGGAAGCAAATCTATCATGAAGGGATACCCACCTATTTTCCAGCGGGATGGGGTGGGGGGAACGGGACAGATGACAAACCAGAAAGCGTGCTTACCGCTGCCCCTGCCGGCGTATGAATATGAACAATGCATTTAACATCAGGTCGGGCTGCATAAATTGCAGAGTGCAAAGTAAAACCCGCTTGGTTTACTCCCAAGTTGGTGCTTCCACGATCAACCACATCCCCCTGAATATTGATTTTAACCTGGGAACAAAAAGAATGAGTTACATAAATCAATCAAGATTGACAAAAATCTGATTTAAATCAGCATCTCCCACTGAAGCTGTAAAACTGCATTTCTTTATTTGATTGAATGAGTGTCAAAATGTGCATGAACACTGTAGGTAGGTGACCAGGGCGCCAGTTTAAGATTAAGCTAACTGAAGAGAACAGCAGGAGCCACTGGTTCTGACTGGAAAAATGGCTGCATGAACAGGGAACAGTGCAAGAAGCTGACAGAAGTTACAGACAGCGTTGTGACGAGCGGCTGCATTTCAGAGAGCTATGGTGGAGTTCTGTAAGAAACCCACAAACTTCACAGGCACCTGAGGAGGAATGTTCATAGAACCATAGAATGGTTTGGGTTGGAAGGGACCTTGGAGATGATCTAGTTCCAACCCCCCTGCCATGGGCAGGGACACCTTCCACTAGACCAGGTTGCTCAGAGCCTCATCCAGCCTGGCCTTGAACACTTCCAGGGATGGGGCATCCACAGCTTCTCTGGGCAACCTGTCCCAGTGCCTCCCCACCCTCTCTGTGAAGAACTTCTTCCTGATATCTAATCTAAACCTCCTCACTTTCAATTTAAACCCGTTACCCCTTGTCCTGTCACTAGAGACCCTTGTAAAAAGTCCCCCCCAGATTCCTTGTAGCCCCCTTCAGGTACTGGAAGGTGCTGTAACGTCTCCATGTTGGGAGCTTTTGGGGGAGTAGGTTCTCAACAGGCCAGCACCTAAGCAATGATACACTGATACCATGTGCCGTGGTTTAACCTCGTCTGGCAAAATAGCACAAAAGGCTGGGATTGCCCAGGTAATAACATTATAAATACCAAATCTGGATATGGACGTAGCAAAACTGGAATAAAAGGGGAAAAGTCATTATGCATGGGTTGTTTATTTGGGGGAGAGCAAGAATGGAGAAAATGGAGTTTCAAAGCAGAGAAGGGAAGAGCCAGCATGGGACAAATGGAGAGCAAGGGTCGATAGAGGGCCAGTTGCGTAAGCAAGCTGCTGGTCAGCGTGCTCATCTGGCTGAGCTGTGTGCCTCACTGCTGTAGGCTAGCATTTTAAATCCTGCTGCTAGCTATTTTCTGTGTGAACATGCTCTCTACTCTGGGGGTGTGTGCGCGCATTTCGCCACCTTCACATAACCTTCATTCTCGAGGTACTTGCATTCCTGATCTTGAGATAAGAGCAAAGCACCTTTAAAATCCAAACACCACACAAAACACCCCCACAGTGTAGCTCTTACCCTCTGCTAAAAATGTTGTAGCAACAAGAAAGGGCAGGTCTGCCTTTTCTGCATTCCTTTTCCTACAGCTTTTTCAACTGAAGTCTTAGAGATGGAGAAGGCGCAGTTATGTACGAAAGCCAGCTTTACAGGGAGCCGAGGGGCGTGCTGGGACCTTAAGGTGTCGAGAGTGACACAAGTTTGCAGCGTAACTACTCTGTACACACTCGCCTCACCTCTCCGCTGGAGTTACCTGCCTGACAGCAGCCAGGGGGAAAGAACAGCATCAAAGTTTTGATTTTGCTTCATCGCAGGAGAGTCAAGCACATTAACTCAAGTTGCCTTCAGCAGCGATGTAGGCCACACTGAAGATAAATGCTTCCCACTAGCTAACAGTTTCAGCAGCTGTTTCTTCAACTGCAACCGTTACATCTCAAAACCACAATTTATCTACACCATTTACACCATTAAACGATGGCAACTGAATCGGGCATCTGACACAACGTCTTGAAATTGCAATTGGTTTATGTGTGAAATGCATACTGTTCCCCCAGCAAGCTGGATGCAACAGCCAGCCGCTTTGGAGGGCGTGATGTGGTGCAGCTGTCCGAGTGACCTGGCTCCTCTCCACAGCTAGATCGACTGGAGGACAGCTGCTGGTGGACATGCGCACAGAAGCCTCTCTCACAGAGACCTCAGCCGCAGAAAAAACGACTATGTTCAATAAAGCTATTCTAAACACGAAAGGGAGCAACATATTCTCTAGGACAGACCGTAAACAGTGGCAGATACAGACAGAGCAGGCACAGCTATTCATAATTTAGAGCTGTGAAAAGCAGTAGCTGCTTACCAGACTAGATGCAGTAACTTCACTATAGAGAAGTCCAAAAGGTACAATGAGGAAGTGTTCCTGCTCAGAATTTACTCTGGCCTAAGGATAAAACAAGAGTAAACGTTATTAAGAATATTTATTAAAGCATACAAGAAAACCCCAAAACATGAACATTGCTTTCAATTCCCGAGTATGGAATGGGCAAGTACGCCTCTAAGACAGGCAGCGTGACTGCCACGTATGCTACACCACCTAACGTGCAGCACAGTTAATTAACTCATGTTAAACAAAAGCAGGTGGTAGATACATGCCTGAGTCCTTCAGATAGGTGGAAGGTAGGAAATCCTTAGATCCTGTGGTAATGACAACTAGACTACTGTGGATAAAAGGAATGACAGAGAAGTCATTGAGCTCCCCAAGTCGAGCCTGTTGTGCCCATGAGAATAACTGGTGACTGATCTCTCCCTGTCCTTATCTCGACCCACAAGCCTTTCATTGTATTTTCTCTCCCCTGCCCAGGTGAGGAGGGCACTGATGGAGCAGCTCTGGTGGGCACCTGCCCTCCAGCCAGGGTCAGCCCACCACACTTTGGTATAGTCCCACTGCTTCTGAAGTAGCTCATCAGTCATCCAAAAGTTCCCAGTACAAATCCACCTCCCTTTAAAACCAGCTACATGTTACATCATGAGAGCCCTAAACTGGACCAGTGAGTTCAAGTTAACCTGTACCAATAATCACCAAAACAGTTCTCCATTGTAGAAGTGTAAATGATCTAGGATATCGTATTTATGCAAGAAAAAGACCAGGTATTATTCCAAATGCCTCAAAAGCTAATAAAGTTCAAACGTAAGGTAAACAAGCAGCAAGACTCACAAATCACCTTACTTTAGGATTAGATCCAATACACAGCTCGTGCCCTCCCAGCAAACCAGGACGTGGTGAATGATGTGTCCCTTCTGTAAACCTGTAATCTCAAATTCTGCCTAACCCCGAAGGCATCCAAGTTTACTCTACATTATTGTATGTGACATGAAAGCTCTCTATTTCTGCTTCTGCATCAGAACCACACCATTCTGAACAATTCCACACACAGCAGCTGCCAGTGATAAGGATCCAGAAAACCAAAAGATACTCCACCCAGTTCCCGGATACGCGTAGACTGGCTTACCTCTCATCTCCTCACATTCCTTTCTCCTCTAACACACAGCTTATGCCCCTCACAGAAGGCTGCTGTATTTTTTCCCTCACTTAGGAAGTGCACTGGAAGCCTCTAACTTGAATGTTTTCTCTAACTATAATCTAGTAATTATAGCATTCGCTCACAAAGAAGTGAAAATCTGGAGTCGAACCCCAGCTCTGCAGAAGCCGTAGGCATTCAGCATGTTCCAGTGGAGCGCCTTACTACCACACTGCTACTGAATGTAGGGGCACAGGGAACAAAGATGATTATTTTATATTTACAACCACCTTGTTCTGTATCAGCTTCTGAAGGGAAATTTCATCTGTTCACCTTTTAGAATGCTATTCACTGGAGGGGTTCGCAAGAGATGGGTGAACTATGACGAACCCTTAACCAGGCACTTCCCAATACCACTTTGCTCTTCAAAACTGTCTAAAATACTGTCAGAGTCTCATATTCCAAATGCCGTCTTCCACCTCAACTAGGATCACCGTTATCATATTCCTGTGCTCCCCTGCAAACCTGAGGCATCCCACCCCGATCACATGCCCCTGCCTTAACCCCTTCCCTAAGCATGCCGCTCTTTGTCATTCACCTGAACGCATAAACATGCCCAGGGCTGCACTTTACACGAGGAAGCCTGCTTGCCTAGTAATCTTTTACTGCCCTGATGGCCCTTTTATCAAATCAATTCTCCTGTCACGTATGAAAGATCAGGGGGCGGTACAGAGCTGTTTACAGTGAACAGTTATGTTGGCTACATTCCCTCACTGAAAGAACCGAGTGATCTAACCAACACTGCCGTGATCCTATGCCTACCCACATCACTTATCTTCATCGGCTCACCAATAACACACCTTGAAATCTCAAGAAGCAGGAGTAATAGAATTACCCTATCTCATTCAGACTGCAGCTGGAAGAACTGAAAATACATACAGGACAACCTCTGCTATGTGGAAAAAACAATTCAGCTCTGTTAGGAAAACAATTGACCGAGCTGCACACCACAGCTGGGACTTTACTCATGACACTCATGTTGATCATTCTTCTGGCACATAAACCCTCCTTGATTTGACCTCCTTGTCATCACTTTTATGGATGCCAACCATTACTCAGTCACAAGGAAAACTGTTGGCACACTGCACTAAGCGAAGTAGTTTGCTCATGTTCAGAAATACAAGGGCTTCTTTTTCAAAAAAGGTTGGTACCTTGAATTACAAAAATTCAACTGAATCACTAATAAGATGATATTTTAGTACTTAGCAAGGAAACTAAGACATGACCTTGCAGAATAAATGCTTTAAACAACTGTATGTGTTAAGATAGCGAAAGACTGAGTCTTTCAGGAATCTCAATTTCATCATAAGAACTTCCACGTACACTCTCTTAAGACTCTATTCAGGCTACGGTAGCTGGCATCCAAGCTGTTCCAGTTCTTACTCTTGAGATGTAATGACAAATCTCTTCACTATTCTACTGCTTTCAATACCACTTTGCTCCTCTTCCACAGAAAATGACGGATGGGGGAGGGAAGCAATTCTTTTGTATGGTGAAACAACTGGTTCACTTATCTGCCGATTCAATACTCACTGTTATATGATTGTAAATAAGCTGAGACCAGCCAAAGAGATCTGCTAATCTGTAGAAAGCTGCCAATTTACATCGTAACAACTTCTCCCCTTTTTCATAAGCAATGGAATCTGATCCTCTCAGATCATTCACCGGTGTCACCATCCCGAGACCTGAAAAGGAGAACGGGTAAAAAGCACAACAGTTAAAAACTAACAACGTGCACCGCTGTTGCAGTGGTTGTTCTCAGTAGTTGGTCTCAACATATTAACCTAAGAAATGGACAGCAAACTTTAATTACTGTAATGTCATAATTTGTTTTACACAAATATAATGATGGTCTCAGCCAAGGTCATTTATCTTTGGCAGACTCTGCGTTTGTTTCCTTCCTTAATATTCATCAGTGCTAAGCTGACAGTGTGGTCCTTAGCAAAGTAACTTTTTTTCTCTCTCAAAACCAATGATTATCTGTAAAATACAACTTCATGTTAACAGAAAGTGTCACCCCAAATATTGCACTGTTTGAGATAAACAATTTGGTAATCCTGAAAAGGAGAATTATACATCTAAAAAAGATGCACACAAATTCACTTCATCAGGAAACATTAAGTACCAGCTAAAGAGAGGATGATTATGGTAAATAATGATAAATACTGTAGATCTTGTTACAGTGCAATTAGAAATGTGGATGAAAGTAACTGCGATAAAGCAGAACAAAGCCATGCTACAGTCTGAACTATGGATTTATTTTGGAGCACAAGCAAGGACTGACATTATTTTAACACAAACCCTGTGTGTACATGCATTTGCCCATTTTGGGTTTTGTTTTCCTCCCTTGTTTTGCCTGCCGATGTTTCCTGTCTATAGCTTCACTTCACAGAACAAAGCTGCAAACAGTATTTCAATGGCAGAAATAATTAGTTTCTGAAGACCACTGTCACTAGACTGCTAATGAGCATTTCATTTTCCTGCAGACAATCCCTGTGGTAAACATGACCAATATTTAAACCTTTCATTTTTCTACTAGTGGTGACTTACTAGGCGTGCTTTGCAATTAAGATCCCATACCTGAAATAGCTTTTGATATAAATTATATACACGAATCACACTGAACATCGCGGTGGCATTAGAAACTGATCATTTTAGGTTTGCAGTGTTCCTGTACGGTGGCATTAGAAACTGATCAATTCATTTTAGGTTTGCAGTGTTCCTGTAAGCAGAACAGGACACCATTTAACTTGAACTGTCATGTCTTCATGACAAGAAAAAAGAAAACAAGAGAATCAGCTGTTAGAAGGGAAGGTGGACTCACTCATGTTCAGCGCAGCCATTCCGCCTTGCGGTGCCGCAGGGTAGACATTCGGTACGTTCGTTGTCATGAAATCCGCAATCTGCTGTAAAGCCAATAAACCTGTTGGGTTCTTCCCCTTCTTAAATTGTTCCTGGATCATAGATTCCAGCTCTTCACAAAAAGCCTGGCAACAGGACATGGCACACTGTAAAGCCTGTTCAAATGAACGGCAACCTTTCATACACAGCTTCTTTTTAGCACTCAGATGGAAACATCCTACACCTCTCCTGAGAAACAGCTCAAGGCAGACTTACTGGGTGCATAATGTTACTTGAAAATGTTGCTCGCCGGAGCTCCAACGATGAGTCACTTAGTATTTTGCTAATGGAAACTGCAGAATTCTCTACAAGTAACACCAAAACTCACTGAAGCTACTAATAAGGGTTTAAGGAAGATGGAGGAAGATGTACAACTGAATTGAACACAAAACACAAAAAGCAGTAGAACCCGAAAAGAGAAGGAAGATTATCAGCGTGGCTAACAGGGAACTGAGAGACAAGAAGGCACCCAGGAAGACAAGAAGGAATAGCTACTGAACTTAAAGTATTTTTAAACAGGAGGTTGTTGACTTTTTTCCTGGCTCCTTTTTTATTTTATTTTTGGTTTGGGTTTTTTTTTTGTTTTAACTTCAAAAGGGAAAAAACCAAGATTGTTTTACTATTGCTGGTGGCCGCTGCTTTTGACAAATACACTGGAATTTGTACTGAAAGAGAAGTATTCCAATCATTAAGTGAATCTAAACAAAAAAGATTGATTTCATGTGAAAAAACTGCAAACACAACACTACATCCCTATTCCTAATGAAGCTGTGTCAGGAAATGTTTTGTATCCACAGTCACCCATCAGTTATTACAAAAGGAACAAATGTTATGAGGGAAACTGTGCTTTGTGTACTTTCCCCCTGAGGGGAAACACCTTTAATATTACATTTCAATCATTCACGGTTTGTTATTGTGCAGCCTTTCAGAAAGAGATACAGAAAAATATTTCTTATGTCAGAATCCCACATGAAAAACTGAGCGCAGGACAGACCCACCACCTGGTATTAGCTACTCTTAGAAGAGTTACTTAACTGCTTAAAGGAATACTAAATATATGAAACAAGTGAAAAAAATGCCTAACCAGGACTAGATGGACAATATGAAAAAATGTTGATGACTAATGAAGGCTCTGGGGAGACCTTATTGCACCTTCCAGTACCTGAAGGGGCTACAAGGAAGCTGGGGGGGACTTTTTACAAGGGCCTGTAGTGACAGGACAAGGGGTAATGGGTTTAAATTGAAAGTGGGGAGATTTAGATTGGATATCAGGAAGAAATTCTTCATGGAGAGGGTGGTGAGGCACTTGAATAGGTTGCCCAGAGAAGCTGTGGATGCCCTGGAAGTGTTCAAGGCCAGGCTGGATGAGGCTTTGAGCAACCTGGTCTACTGGAAGGTGTCCCTGCCCATGGCAGGGGGAGTGGAACTGGATGGTCTTTAAGGTCCCTTCCAACCCAAACCATCCTGTGATTCTGTGACTACACAGAGAATTCCAAAAGCAAGACTGAAGAGCTGCTTCATGAGTTAGACAGTAAAAATGCAACCAGATAATGTAAGGAAAAATTAGGCTACAATTAGGATACTTTAGAAGAAAGGCCAACCAGAAAAAAGATCGAATGGATCCAAAATAACTTCTCCTTTCTTCCACAAGAATATTAAAACCAGAGGTGTTAAATTTATCACTTTGAAGTTGGAGCATTTTCTTTTCTTACTGGGCTTTGAAGAATCATGGAGACTCTCTTCTTCTGTTCCATCATGTTGAAGTCCTGGCGAAGGTCAGGCGCCATATTCCTCTCTCTCAAATATTCCGGATTATTTTCATCAACTCGATCAAAATACCTCTCTTTATGAGGGGCTGTTGTTGGGGGTGGTGAAGTCACCACCCCCACACCAGACTCACCATTCATAGCACGGTTTTAAGGAACCTATGGAGAGAGGACAGAGAAGAGGAATAAACAGCTCAAGCAACGAAGTAATTACGAACTTCCTTTATGTTTGTTTCAGCACGACAGTTCAAATCCATCTAAAATCAGCATGTCTTCCCAAACACAGAAACCACGTTTACGCGACTAGATAGCAATACTTTAGAAGATAAAAAAAATATATGTAAAAATATAAGATTAGAAAATTAGGCTAGCATACATGCAAAGTCAAATATGCTACACAGGCACATGCTACACCACACTAAGATCCCATTTAAACTACCTCCATGTCTTTAAGCTGCCTACACAGCAAAGAAGTCCTTCAAACCTTGTCACAGACGACAACACAGAAGGTCAAGACACGCGAGGTCTCAACTCACTGGTTTTGTTGTCTTTTTGGGTTTGGTTTATTGGGGTTTGTGCTGGATT